TGTATTAACCCCTCTCTCTCAGTGCAGTGTTAATGTACTGGAGTGTCCAGTCAGTGTGTCTGTATTAACCCCTCTCTCTCTGTGCAGTGTTAATGTACTGGAGTGTCCAGTCAGTGTGTCTGTATTAACCCCTCTCTCTCTCAGGCACTGGATCAACCGGTTCCCAGTGGTGTTCAAGGGCGATGACCTGCTGGGGGGAGTGATGGAGGAGCTGTGGGAACTGGTGAAACGAGAAGGAGAGGAGCAGCACTCTCAGCTCGTAGACACCTCCGACCTGTGAGAGGCAGTACTGCACTGTCTATAGACACACCTGTGTGCCCTGCAGTCTCCTCCTCGGGAGCAAGAGAGAGGAGAGGGGAGGAAGAGAGAGGAGAGGGGAGGAAGAAAGAAGAGAGGAGGAGAGGGGAGGAAGAGAGAGGAGAGAGGGAGGGAGAGGAAGAGAGGGGAGGAAGAGAGAGGAGAAAGGGAGGGAGAGGAGGAGAGAGGGAGGGAGAGCAGGAGAGGGCAGGAAGAGAGAGGAAACAGGGAGGGAGAGGAGAGAGATAGACGGAGAGGAGGAGAGGGGATGACAAGGAGAGATGAAAGGCGAGGAGGAGAGGGGAGGAAGAGAGAGGTGTTGATCTACAGAAGTATACACTTTTATTTATAGTGGCTATTTCTAACCAACATGAGTGCTCAAACAGAACACATTTATGGCTGAGAGACATTAAATGTCAGTATAAAGTGTGTGACCCCTTCTGTCTTGCTGTCCCATCCCTCAGCCAGCCCTCCAGCGGCTGTAGACGTCTGACCCTGCAGGGCGGGGGCCCGGAGGTGAAGAAGAGGAAGGTGTCCCTGCTGTTTGACCACATGGAGCCAGGAGAACTGGCCGAGCACCTCAGCTACCTGGAGTTCAAGAACTTCTGCAGGGTCTCGGTGAGCCCCCTCAGTCAAACATCTAGTCAGTTCCTGGCACAAGTTTTACCTCTGATCTATTAACATTTCCTTCTCTCTCCCTCCCTACTCCCTTCATCTCTCTCCTCCGTCCCTCCCTCTTCCCTCCCTCCCTCCCCACCCTCGCTCCCTCTCCCTCCTCCTCTCTCAGTACCTGGATTACCGGAGCTACGTGCTGCGGGGGTCTGTGCGGGAGAACCCTGCGCTGGAGCGCTCAGTGACGTTGTGCAACGGGATCTCTCAGTGGGTCCAGCTCATGATCCTGAACCAACACACGGCCCAGCAGCGGGCGGAGGTCTTCACCAAGTTCATCTACGTGGCACAGGTGACTGGAACTGGCACGTGCACACTCACTCACTCACACTCATACTCTCACCATTCACACACTCACACTCACACTC